GTCCCGGCTTGCTCCGGTGGTCCGCGGCCGGCTGGGGGGGGGGTTGTGCGGTCAGACCTGACTGTGTGGAACCCCTTCTCCCTGCCTGCACTGGGGTGGGTCTCTGTGGCTTGGGGTCTGTGAAGGAATCAGCCCTCACAGGGTCTTAATGAAGAGTGTTGGGCCATGGAGGTCCTCCCCGGGCCCAGCATCCTGCAGGGCATGTGCACCAGAGCCAAAATGAATAGCAAGAAGGGACGTGTGTCTGCCACAGAGCTTAGCTAATGAACCTGATTCACACTGAACTAGTAGCAACCTCCTCTTTCTTCCTGCAGACATCAAATACATAGAGATGACACCAGGCAGAGCCACGTGTCCCGAGCGGCTGCAGGGCTCCCCCAGCCCTTCAGGCACACCGTTCTCGAGGTCTCCCCAGGGCAACAGCTTCCTGTCCCAAAAAGGGGGGCTCAGAGGCAACTGCAGCACCAGTGGCAGTGTGGTTTTCTCCAGCCCATCTGGCCCCACGCCGAGCTGTGCAGCCTCCCCACCCCACAGCACCGCAGCTGAGTGCGTGGCTGTGCCTCGGCAGTGCCGGACTGACAGCATCTCCTACGGCCCCAGCACCCCCAGCACCTCCCCGGGCCTCGACAACCTGCTGAAGGCAGTGCACGTGGTGAGGGCGCAGCAGAGGACCAGCTGGGTGTCCATGCTTTCCACCAGCCCTGGCTCGGACACCAGTTACATCTTTGGAAGGTAAATGCTGCCTCGTGTCTGGTCTCGGGCTGATGGTGGGGTTGGAAGGGGCATAGGGTGGTTATCCCAAGCCCCGCTGTCCAAAATCTCCTTCTTTAGGCTGGGGCTCGATGCCTCGCAGGGCTGGTGTGGTCCCTGTGGACTGCGCATTGCATCCCAGCTAAACAACCCGTCCTGCTCTCTGTCTCCCTCTTGCAGCAGCACCTACTCGCTCCACAACGACGACTCGGATGCTTACCCTGCTGCCTGCCACTCTGCTGACTGCCCGTCCCCTGCCAGCTCCCTGGGCAGCCCCTGCCCACCTTCCCCAAGCGTCAGGTCTCACTCTGGAGAAGCTTTTGGCCTGAGTCCTCACCAGCCCGGGGCAGACTGCTCCACCAAAGCCAACACCTCCCCATCCCAGAAGGGACAGGCTAGCAGCTGCCCCCCCTCCATCCTCAACTCCACAGCCGACATCCCGGTGCTGTTGGTGAACGGGTGCCTGGAACAAGGGGATGCGTTTTCCAGGCTGACCAGAGCTCAGCCAGCCTCTGTCAAGCAGATCTCTGCTCCCAGCTGGCCTCAGGGCTCAGTGGCTGGAACAATGCGCTGTCGGCACCAACACTTTCTTGCGTCCTGGACAGTAAGTCACCTCCCTGCTGTAGGGCAGGCCTGTGGGAGAAGGAGCTGCAGAGCCCAAGAGCTGCCAGGAAAGGGGGAGCAAACACTATTTTCTACTCTGGTTTACCCGTGGGTTATAGACATAAAGGACAGGAGGTCCTTGCTGGAGCTGGAGATCCTTGCTGCATCTCCACCAGGCTGCAGAGCTCGGCGGGGGTCTCCAGCTGGTGACCCTATATTAGCCACAGCGTTTTGCTCAGCAGGCAGAAACGCTCTGGTCCCCTCAAGGAGACGCAGATACACTTATTTATAGTACCTGTGAATAAGAACCACAATTCTGTTGTTTCATACTTGTCTGTGAGCCCAGAACGGGTGGGGAGGAGGAGTTTAGGGTTCCAGTTTGCTCTGAAGGGCATCTAAAGATACCAGAGTTCATAGGGTCCCTCATTCAAGGGTTATCACTGGGGCTATCGTTCTTTGGAGGAGATGAGCAGAGGCAGCCCTCAGGGCAGAGGGTTTTAATTGGGATCCTTATGGGAGTAGTAGGGAGGCCTTTGTGGGCCAGATCCTCAGCTGGTGTAAATCCCTATGGTCTGGTAGACTTGTGCAGATAGGCACTGCTGGGGGATTCCATGTGCTGCCTCCCTGTGCTCCATCACAGCCTGCCAAGAGAGATAATTACATGGAGAATTAATTATTCTGAGGAGCAGGGAGGAAGCTCTGTTCAAAAGGATTAAAAAAGTAACTTTCAACCCTGGCCAGCCTGAAAGAGAAATCTCTCTGCCAGAGCTCTGTCCTTTCAGCGATGGCTGCTGTGAAGTCTTCCAGGTGTCTTGCTGGCCTTGACACTGTAAGATCTCTTGCAGGTCCCCTCAGGGCTGGGCAGCCGACCATGAAGTTTGTGATGGACACATCAAAATACTGGTTCAAGCCGAGCATAACTAGGGACCAAGGTAAGGCAGCAAAGTGTCTCTGCCAGGGTAACGCCACCATAGGATTGTTCTTGGTAGGATGCTGCTTTCCCCCTGCAGCACCCCAATGCCCATGCTGAGGTCATGTGGAGACTCAGTCATGGCAATTCAAAGTATACTGAGGGCTGACGGGCATGGAGATACCTACTCCCTGTGTCCTCTGCAAATGCTCTCGTATATTTCTCACTGCTGCCAAGGAACTACCCCCCATGAGAGCATCAGCAACACGGGGAGGTTCTACCTGTTTAGCTTGGCTGAGCCTCTTCTTGTGCTTTGACAGCAATCCAGCTGCTGAAGGACAAGGAGCCAGGCACTTTCGTGGTGCGGGACAGCACGTCGTACCGCGGCTCATTCGGACTGGCCATGAAGGTTCTCGTGTCTCCATCCGGCAGCCAGACAGGTACAGGGGCTCGCTCAGAAAGGCGGGGCTTGCTTCAAGGATTTAACTGAAACTACTTAAACTGAAGCTGCTGAGCAGCTCTTGCTTATGAGAGATGCAAGTGGTGGGCTCTGTGTGTGGTCACTGCGCCCCTGTGCTGGGGCTGGCGCTGCACTTGTTGCACGGTGGATGCGCTAGGGTGGGGAAGGGCAGGGGTGAAAACAGGTCCGGTGCTCGTGCTGACACTGGCTTCACTCCCGCCTGCAGGCGATGAAAGCAGTGACCTCGTCCGTCACTTCCTCATCGAGTCGTCTGCCAAAGGGGTGCACTTGAAAGGAGCCAGCGAGGAGCTGTATTTTGGTGAGGATGCTGCCACCACCCACAGCAGCCCTGGCAGCCCCAGGAGCCCAAAAGCCCCTTGAAGCACCAGCCAGGACCAGGGCTGCTCAGACACCCTGCAGTGAGCTGCACACCCACTGGCATTGGGGCCCTGCAGCCTCTGCATCCTGCCTGTGCTCCTCTGCCAGCAACTGTTTGAGCAGTCTCCAAAAGAGGAACATGGGGTGCAGGTTTGAAAACCCACATGAGACCCCAAATAGTCAAACTTAGTCCCCCATTCCCTCCTTCTGAGCTCCACAGGACACTGTAGCAGGACCTGAGGCACACGGGTGAAAGGTTTTGGGCACCAGCCCCCCTCAACTCACAGTTCTGTGTTGCAGGGAGCCTCTCTGCCTTCGTGTACCAGCATGCCATCACGCCGCTGGCACTGCCCTGCAAGCTGAGCATCCCCACCCGAGGTAGGTGTTAGGGGACAGGGTTGATGCTCTGAGCAGTCCCCAGCCTGGGGACGTGGGTGAGGTCCTGCAGTGGGGAGGAAGCTGAACCACCCCGGTGCCCCTGCAGTAGGGCTAGAGGTGGAGCAGGGACCTGCAAGAGCTGACTTGACTCTGAGTCATGGTGACTTGCTCCTGCTACAGATGGAGGGTGGTCAGCAAAGCAGTGGGGAGCAGGGGACCACTGAGGGTGGGCAAGGAAAGGAGTGGGGAGACAGGATACGAACAGAGCCAGGAGGGGGAAACGGAACATAAGTGGTGACCCAGAGCACCCCTGCTTGTCGTTTGTGCAGATCTTGCTGATGGAGAAGACAGCCCTGACTGCGCTCCGGAATCCCCACTGTCCTTGCTGAAGAAAACTGCTGGTGAGGAAATGAGCAGGGGGGACACCAGGAAAAAGCTGAGTTGGTGATAGCCAGAGCTCTGGGCATGCACCTGTGCGTCGGGCTTTAGTCCTTACCTATCAAACAACAAGCTCTATTTTCTATGTCATTCCTTCTGGCACCATTCACAACAGAATCTGAAAAGCCAGCACTGTCTTTGGAGCTGTGCAAGGCAGCAGGTCACCCATGGGTGCTGGTGCAATGTCCCCTCCTGGCTTTATCACCAGGCTGGAGATACCTGCAGGTTTTCTTCACATCCTCAAATCATGGACCTGCAGCGGAACCTGGTATTTTTAAAGAAAGGAGACTTTTGTTCCTCACAGTGGTGAAAAACACAGTTCTTGAGGTCACAAGGCTGATAAAAGACCCACAATTCCCACAATTTTAAATAGCCTGTGATTTTTAAGCCTCTCCTAATAGTATTGAGCCGATGGCTATTGAACATCTGTAGTTTCTAGGACAGGGATGGGGCAGTTGGAGCTGGTTAAATTACTAAGGATGAGGATGAGGAAGGGTCTTTGCTTCTCTTCCACAGCTGATGCCCCCAGCCTGGGTGTAGTGGTAGATAGGCTCCACATGAAAGCAGAGGGCAATGGGCAGAAGGCCATGGAGAGGGTCCTGGAGCAGTCTGGAACCACTTTTTTTTGTTGGAAATTCTGGAAAATAAGTTGGCAAGTTGGAAAGTTTAGTTTGACCCAGAACAGCCCTTTACATGCTCAATTAGCCTGAAATGTCATGTTTTAGAATTGTTTTCAGCCCTCTGTTGGCTTGGGGTATTTCTGCTTTTCATTAAAGGAAATATGTACTGAACAAGAAAAAAAATCCCAAACAAATGTGACATTTACAAACCGGAAATGAAATACTTTGACATTTAAAACTCTGAGTGCAAAGAATTAAAGTAAACCAAAATAAATTTGTGCAGAATCTGAGTCACTAGATCTTTAATTTTCACCAAAACAAACCTGACCCACGTCCATGTGGCCAGTGCCACAGGATGATGCCTGTGACCCACCCTGGACCAGCACCGCACATGGCAGTGAGATGCTGACGCCATGCTGAGCCAGGCTCTGTGCTGTCCTTGCAGTGTGCAACGTCTTATACCTCAACTCAGTGAGCATGGAGACGCTCACAGGAGCCCCGGCCATCCAGAAAGCCATCTCCTCCACCTTCGAGCTGGAGACACTGCCCACACCTACGCTAGTGCACTTCAGAGTGACGGAGCAGGGGGTGACACTGACAGACATCCAGAGGAAGTAAGAGCTGCCTGGGGAGGGTGAGGATGGAGCCAAGGGCTCATGGGTGGTGGGAGAACTCAATGACTGATAGAAACACAGCTCACCCGTGACCACCCAGCTCTCCTCTTGCCTCTCAGCCTGCCAACAGGCTGATCCGCAGCACGTCAAGAACTGGCCTGCTAGCACTGATCTGTTGCAATCCAGGGGTGGACTTGACCTCTTCTGTTACAGCACAGGACATGATGCTGCTTTACATGGGGCTGGTGGCAGCATCTCTCAAGTGGAAGGCAGGAGCCACCTGATCCCAAGAGCTGGATGTGCTTTGCCACCATCAGCTTGGTGGCAGCCCCAGGGAGCAAAACCCCAAATCCCTGTCCCCAGCAGCCAAAACAGTTCAAACAGGGCTTAGTTTTGCAAATACCCATTTCTCCCACCAGCTCTGCCTGGGCACTTTCCTCCTCCAAGACCATGCTCTCCTCCTCCTCCCACAGGGTGTTCTTCAGGCGACACTACCCCTTGGCTGCCATCAGGTTTTGTGGGATGGACCCTGAGAACAGAAAGTGAGTTATGGGCTGCTCTGTGGGCTGAGGGCTTCTATCCCAGTGGGAGCAGTTCCCGGGGCACTCTGTGGCTCCCATCTGTGCACCACCTGAAATCCCAAACCTCAACCACTGGCTATGCCGCCCCTGCCCTGGGCTTAACGTGCTGTGGTTTAGCTAAATATAAACCTTGGCTTTGCAGCTGATCGGATGAGTTAAATACCAGTCTGTGAATCCAATTCTGTTCTCCCCTCAGGTGGCAGAAGTACTGCAAGTCCTCCAGGTAAGAGCAGCCAAAGGGTGCTGGTGGAAACCTGAGGGAAAGATGCTGTCTCTCCAGAGGGTGCATTGCAAAGCTGTGCAGAACAGCAAAGATTCAAAGCTTAGAAATGAAGAGGAGATGTGATAAAAGTTAGCGTGGTGACAGGATGAGACACGGGGCAGCGGTGTGAAGCTTTAGGGTGCATTTTGCTCTGTAGGCTTTGATGAGAGGCTTCTCTAAGCCCAGTTCTCCTCATCCACCCATGTGGAAAGCTGTCCAAGCCCATCAGCCTTCCCAGGGACTCTCTTGCTCTGGGCTCGAGAAGTGAGTTTATATCTGGCTCTACCTTGTGTTCAAGAAACTCTGCACAGCTGGGGCAGCCTTGCCAGAAACACTTCTCCTGGGTCTTTTGCTTCCAAGTAAACGTGATTGGGGAACGAGCCAAGGTGGAATTGCTGGAATTGGGGTTTTGCTTGGTGGCTGGGGATAGTTTAAGCATATTCCTTTGGATTCCTGCATGCAAACTGAACAAGTCTCTCTCCTTTTTCAAAGAATCTTTGGTTTCGTGGCCAAAAGCCAGACAAATTCGGAGAACCTCTGTCACCTGTTTGCAGAGTACGACACTGTGCAGCCTGCATCACTTGTCATCGACCTTCTCTGCAAGCTCCTGCCGGGCCCGTAGAGCACAGAAACCCTGAGGCAGCTCAGGTCCCCATGCACTCTGAGCTTTCCCTGCTCCCCTTTTCCTGCTTCTAGGTTGCATTTTGGCAACAGCTCATATTTATGTGGGGTTGGGGTTTTTTTTTTGTTACATACCATCATGTCAAGAGTCTCAGTTAAAGATTTTCATGCTCTGGTGAGACAAAATGTTGCTCCAGTACCCCCTTTTTGGGCATCGTGGGATGGGAGCTGTGCTCCTGTATGGAACTGCTTGCCTCCCCCCCGCCCCCGGGTATGTACCATTGCGTTGCTCTGGAGGACTGGAATACTCCAACTGAGGTCTCTACTGGCACTTGGGGTGTCCAAGCTGAGGCATATTTGGTGGAGCTGAGCTCCTGCTTTTGGGGCCTCAGCCCTAACCCCTGGTGAAGCTGGGTGGGACTTACCTCCCTGCCCATAGACCAGCATCAGGAGGCAGTTTTGCAAATCAAAGCATATAAACCCATTAGGCCCTGCTGAAAAGTCCTCCTTCCCTCAAAGAGCAAGAAGCTGCTGTGCCAGAGCTGTGTATTCTTGCCTGGTGTTGATCAATTCTCCTGCCCCTCTTTGCAAAGTAGCATCACCGGCCAGCCCAGCCCTGGAGCTGAGGAGCGGATGTTGACATTTTCCTGACAGTGAAATGTTGAGGTTTTGGAAATGAATTTGTGTGAATTTAGGCCAGATCGTCGGATGACGTGAATTGGCACAGAGTGGTGGAGCCGGCGCTGCTGTGATTTACACCAGCTGAAGTCTTCGCTCTTGCTGTAACCTCAGCAGAGTGGAGCAGCTTCATGCAGTCGCCTCCCGTAGAACATGCTTACCTGGTGCCTCTGTGCGGTTTTCATTTCAGGCCCTGTGTAACACACCCTGCTTAGGGGTTATCATCAATAAAACAGCGGGTCGTTTATCTCAAGAGTCAGCCACTGACACGTTACTCTGCTCTCTTCCACGGCTGAGCATTCGTGCTGCTCATAATGTGATTCTCCTCCAGCCAGGCAGATACACAGCATCCGGCTGCCACAGCTCCTCGGGAACGGTAGAACAGGCACTGGAGTTACTGTGAGGGGAGGATTCTCCTCCTTCACCATCAGCTTTGTGTGCCCTGAACTGTGCCCCGAGCTCTGTGCCCAGCCCAAGAGAGCTGTGATCCCATGGGCCCCATTATGCTGCACAGACCCAGGAGACCACAGCACCCCAAGGTCAAGGACAGCTCAGCCATTGTACAGGATGTGACCCACTGCAGTGCGTGCTGCAGCCGTTAAGGGGCCCCAGCACCACACCATCAGTCCTGCCTGCACCCTGCCTATGCCCTGCCTGTGCCCTGTTTCTCCTGCCCGCCTCCTGCCTGTGCTCTGCCCAGCTGCTGGGAGCTGCACATAAGGGCAGAGCCGGGTGCTCAGAGCTGTTTTCATTAACCAACACTTCATTAGCGCTGCAGTGGCTGCAGGACTCCACTCCCTGCACCCCCTACGCCATGCAGCACAAGTCCATCATGTGTATTGCGGTACTGTTGTGAAAGCAGTGATAAGCACAAAGGGAATATGATGGTCATATTCAAAGGCTTTGACTCCAAAGGTGCTTTGGGGGGTCATGCTGCTGTCCCCAAGCCTGGCCAGTGCCATCCCTGCCCTGCCTCTTGCCCTGGCAAATCCCACTCCCTGTTGCAGAACTCCAGCCCCAGCCAGGAGGGTTCATCTTCTGGGGAATGGGGCGATAGATGCTGCTTTTCCCCACCTCAGGATCACTGTGGGATGGGGAGCTGGCCCATCACCAGGCACTGTCTTCCACACATGGAATTTTTAGTTCATTGAAAAGCCTTTTCCAGTGCAGCGGAGCTGGAGCCTGGGCCCAGACACGACGGCAGGGACAGTTCAGCCAAAAACACCTGGATTCAGGAATAAACAAACAATTCTCTGAGCTCCTCATGGCTTCCAAAGTTTGTCCCAGGCTTCCTGGAAGCACAGCTCTTGGTTTTGGTTCCTGGGTCCAGTTCCAGCCATTCTGTAACCAACCCAGCCCCTGTCCTGGCCAGGCTCAGAGGTTTGTTCCCGGTAGCCTCTGCCCCATGTCCCCAACTGCAGCAAGACCCCAAGAGCCACTGATGCTGCAGCACATGGCCGGGCTCTCCCCAGTGGCAGGGACAAGGATGCCACTGGTGCATGTAGGTGCACGGACACATGTGGGACACACAAACCCCCCTCACTGGCTGGTGCAGGTGGAGCTTTGTTGCTGGGTGAGATGCAGACCAACGCACCCAGGACCCAGAACCACCACCGGACACTGCTGGGGTGAGCATCACCCCATCCCAACACACCGGGGTCCAACCACTGGCTGCCCACCTGGTGCAGCCCTGTTCAGGAGTCCCAGCCAGGAGCGCTCCTGTACACATGGAGGGTGCAGAGGGTTCGGTTTACTCCTGTCACTGGCTTCTTGATGACCTCCAGAAGAGGGAAAAGGCCACAGCCCTCTCTCAGCTGGTGGGGACAAGCCCTCTGCCAGGGCTCAAGGTGGCAGTGGGACGGTGCCAAGGCCATGTGCAGCCTCTGGTTTAATTTGGCCTGTTTGGGAGCATTTCCATACAGCTCACACCAGCTCTGTAGAACACAGGGTGGGATCCCCACAGATCCCTCACTCCTCCTCTGCTTTGCTTCCCATCTCCTCAATGCAAAGGTAAAATACACTCAATAGAAACTTGTTAAATAACAGGGACAATTCAATACAGGAATTACTTTTTTTTTCTTGTGGATGATACAAGGGTTCAAGTTTACTGTAAAAGGGGTCGGTGCTACATGGGAGGCTGAAGGGATGGGCTTGGCCCAGGAGGAACTGACGTAAATCACATCGGCATGGAAAAACGCCGCTGGGGTTGGGGAGCCTTATGCTGGTATATGATTGTGTGTAAATACAGCCTTAACCTACAGGAGAGACAATATAAAACGCTGGAGCCCTCTGAGCTGGATACAGAAGTTTCTGGTCCCTGCCCAGCCACCCCCTGACCACACCAAACCAGGAGAGGTCCCATGGGATCTGCCATGGTGCTGCCATGGTGCACATGGACCAGCTCTGGGACCGGCTGCGGTCCCCAGCAGCACTCCTGGAAAGCCATCCTGGCATTGGGGGTGCTGTGAGGCACTGGGACCCCCATTCCCACCAAGGCCCATATTGGCACATCGACCCAGCTTAGAAGTTGTGGGTCATCTCCTCCAAGCGGGGCCACACGCAACCAGACAGGGATCCAGCAGGGCGATGCCAGGGCAGGCAGGGGATCCAGCAGGAGCCCAACAAGGCACTGAGCCATGTTGGGACACGTGAACCTGGGGACATGGGACATGTCACGAGGACACCAGCACATGAATGAGAAGCCAGGCAAAAACGTGCTGATGAGCTGCAACACCAAGTCCTGTGCCAGCCCTGTCCCTGCTCCATCCTCATCATCTGGCCAGCACTGGCCAGCAGCATCGGGGGACATCCTTGCTGGTGCTGGGAGCTGCTGTGCCATGCCATGCAGTGCCATGCCATGCCATGCCATGCCGTGCTGTGCCATGCCATTCTGTGCTGTGCCGTGCCATGCGGGGAGCTGCTGGGAGGCACAGGTTGTTTCACTAAAACTGAAACATTTCATTCCTGTCGGGGCCTTGACACCCACCAGGGAGAATCCACACGGAAAACCAAAACCTCCCACTGAGGCCATGGAGCTGTGGTGTGGGTCTGGGGGAAATCAGCAAAATCCCCTCCATCTTTAGTACCCACCATGGCAGCCAGCACAGCCACTCCTCACTTAAAGCCATTCAGGTGAAAACTTTCAGCCCAGCTTAAAAAATAATTAAAAAAGGAATTAAAAAAAAAAAAAAAGCTACAAAAGTGGTGACAATTTCCCAGCTGAGAACTTGGTGCTGGCAAAACCTGCAGATCCCATCACTGGGATGCACCAGAAACTCATCCCGGTTTTGTCACATTGGCCAAGTTGGAAGAAGACAAGATACGTCTGGGGGTGCATGATCCCCCTCACCCATAGGGACGAGGCATGGAGACATGAGATGAATGGATGGATGGATGGATGGATGCATGCATGCATGGGAGGAAAATGCTGTAGCCACTGGCTTTGTCCCTGTGCAAGGATGGGGCTGGGCCATGGGGCAGGCAGGACCTGGGCTGTGGAGCTGGGGGGCTGCAGTGGGGAGGGAGAAAGTGTCTTATTGCTCTGTGTGGCTGTGGTGCCCATTTCGCGCACACGCTTTGGGTCAGGTGGAGGCAGGGAAGGCTCCAGGCAGGCGGTGGCAAAGGGGGTGTCTCTTTGGGCATCCCCGGTCCATGCCTGGGCATCCTCCTGCTGCCAGGGAGGGCCAGATGAGGCACTTCTGCTGCTGCCACATGCAGAGGTCCAGTGTGGACACAACGCACCATGGGCAGGGGTGATGCTGCTGATGCAGCAGCTGGCATGTCCATGGCTGCCTGTGGGGCCACAGCCACCAGGCTCCGTGTCCCACGGCCACACCACAGCACAGAGGGGCCAGGATGAAAACCAGAGGGTTACCATGGGGTGGGAGCAGCACCAAGGGGCAGGAGGGTGGTGGGTGCTTTCCCATCAACAGCCGTACACCAGCCCTAGCGCAGCATTAGTCCAAGCAAGTATCCGTGCAGGATGCAGGTGTGCCAGGGACCCCTTGGCAGTGGCAGGTAGTGGTCATGGCGCAGGTCATGGTGCCGTGCCCCGTGCTGTGGCGCAGAGCACAGCAGCAATCCAGGGTGCGTGGCAGGGTCCCCTTGCACACAGGAGCTGCTCGACAGTCATGTACCCTTTCTTCCTCTCCTGCGCAGCCCCTGCAGGTGTCCCGGTCGCATTCACATGCTGTCTGCCAGCTGGTGACAGTCCAAGTCTCCTTTCAGCTCCAGGAAGCCCGGCAGCTTTACCCCGGTCTTGCGGTCCACACACCAGCACTTGCCCCGCTGCCCATCCAGTGCCGGGTGACACTGAGGAGAAAGGTTCAGTGAGGGATGCCCAGCCTGGCCCCCACAGCCCCATTCCCATGGGCAACCAGGAGCTCTCATGGGGGGCTTTTCCACCCCCATCCCACCCTGAGGCTTTGGCAACCCCTGAAGCCCCCCGCCGGTGGCTCTTGCCACTGGCCCATCATCCGTGTTCATCTCCCAGCGTAAGCCACACAAGTGGCACCCCCATGACAGATGCGACCTGTCCTACCTGCTTGGGGTGGAAGTTGCCATTGCGGTCGCCGTTGGGGATGGGGGTGACGTACAGGTCCGGGCCGCCCAGCCGCTCCAACGCCCGGTGCAGCTCGCTCTGGCACGAGCCCTGTGCCTGCAGGAAGGGGGTATATGAGCCAGCAGCGGGGCTGATGGATCCCCCAGCCCTGCACCCCAGTACCGTGGCTCTGGAGCACAGCCCAGGGCTGCTCAGCACCCATCCTGCCCTCCCTAGCCTGGTGCTCACTATGGGCCGTGTCTCCTCACGGTGGTATGGGCTCCCGCTGTTGCGCATCTTGTTGCCATTGTTGACCCGCTTCGCCTGCTGCTTCTGCAGGCACTTGCGGTCATGGATGCTGCAGGGGCTGAAGCTGTTGTTGGGGTGGTCGATCTCCTCTTTCTCTGCAAGGACACAGACCGGAGTGGACTCAGTGCCACAGGGCAACCCTGGGGATGGCCATGCCCTAATTTCCATGGGCATCACCCCCAGCCCCAGGTCCCCTTCCGTCCCTGCCATCATGCTGGGCTGAGCACTGCAGTGCTGGGAAAGGGTTCTGGGAGTTTTGACAACTCATTACCCATGACTCACAGGCTTGTTGCCATATATCTGTTGTTGTAGGGTTGCAAATACACGCAGCAAGAACGTGAGGCAGTTGCTCCAGTGACAGCACAGCATGAGGATCTGGCTGTGCCCTGGCCAACCATGTGCCACCAGGCACTGGGTGCTCGCCTACAGCATTGCACTCACAAGGCTGAAAAATTACCATGGGGTGCATGGCCAGGGAGCCCCAGGAACATCCTGATGCCTCCACAAAGCTGCCTCTGAGGAGC